ACGAACACTTCTTAGTCAAAGCGCCGCTTTGCGGCTTTTTCAGCTAAACTAGCGTATCATGCGTATTGTCTTTTTAGTATGGTAGAGACCAAATGGCGGTTCCTCACCTTCTTAATGGCATACTTTGAATGTAATGGTAAACTTACTACTAAGTTACGTAGAAACTACGTAGAAACATAGTTAATACTGATTTTGAGGAATTTTGAGAATATGATTGTCTCCAGCGCCTTACTGTGTCTCTGTGGTAAGTGGTTACCACACAAAATGCACGATATTCTATTTGAATTTGCCGTGCTAACCTTTTCAACTTTCTACGGGTTATGAGACAAATTCATGAGTAAGAGAGCTTATGGGAGAACATTGTATGCTCTGATGGTCCTCACACCTCAAATTTTGCACAGCTACTATGCATTTTGAGACGATGTGTCTACAGTTCCTCATGTACACTCACAGTCATTAATAATTATTGTTGCAGATAAACGCAAACGCTACGTAGCTTATTGCTACAGTACCCTACCTTTATCCGAGGAAATGCTGGCCTGTGCAGCTAAACGAGCACCAGTTCAAATTATACAAAAGACTCCTGTGCGCGTTCTTAAGAGGCGATCATTATTAGAGCGACCGCGAACCGTGCACACCATGGAAATGCTTCCTATGGACAGTCACCATTTTTTGTTGAGGTTCTTTTTTTTCCAGTACTGAATTATTTTCTTGTCATCTAAGTCGTTTATATTTACACTCAATCTCCTTTCTGTTTTATTGATTAATTAATATGTAGCGAACGGACCAGATGTTTTCAAGCATTGTTTGTAACAGTATTGGAAGAACAGCTAAAATTTCGACTTCGCATGCGTCTTTCAAAGTTTATAAGTCCGTATTTGAATTATTTTATTAGTTCAGACTCGAAACTCAGGCCGGAACATACATAAAAGAGTTTGTCCATGGTGACTTTGGCCGCACACGACCGTCGCTGGCTGATCTCCTAGGGGTGGCTAATGGGGAAGTCGATATTCTTGATCTAGATGTTGATAAAGTCGACTATGAATGGCCTCTAGTTAAAGATACTCCCATAGTATTCAGATGATATAACAAACTTCGATCCTAAAAATGTGGTTCTATCTGTTCAACATTTCATCGTTACTTTGTTGTTGTTATTGTTGTTCTGAAATTTTCCTGAGATCTACGCGACGCGTAAAGGTGCCTTATCATTTTAAATCTTTTTCTTCCTAAAGCATAGGTGGTGCGACCACTTTTACTTGTTTTTGTGAAATGTTGTTTTTATTTTATTCTCTCGCGGAGAATAAACTGTATTTTAATTTTTTTCTCTTTTCTGCCATCATGGTAATATCCACAATTTTTCCAAAATAATAATATTTCAGAAACTCATGCTCTAAGCAGTGTCATCGTTTAGTTTATAGGGAACATGTCTGGAGCAACTGTCTTGATGGTGGCTGAAAAGCCGCTTCTAGCTGATTCTATCGCAAAGATCCTTTCAAACAATACGGCTTCCAAACGAAAAGGTAGTATAGTCACCTGCAGCTTTTTTGTCCGTAAGGTCTTTGTTGAATGGCCAGCTCTCTACTCTTTGTCTTAAAGTGGGGATAGATGATTTGCGGGATATGCCCTTGGAAACGCTTTCCGTACCTGCTTTCCTGCACTTTCAATTTTTCCACTTGCTGGCTAAAACCCAGTTTATAATTTAGGACCAAGCTCTCTTATTGTTGTCTAAGATCTGTGCTGCAGCACTTATGACTTTAGACAACCTCTGAATGTTTGTCAGAAAACTTTTGGAGATTTTTGCAAAAGAACCAGTTTGTTGGGATTTTGATATATGAATGGCTAAAAAAGGTTTTATTGAGCTTAAGATGCCAGCTTTTATCGTGCAATAAATTATATTTTCAATTAGCGAAAGCCCTGTAGCAGGAATTGTGCTATTGTAGTATTATCCTCCTTTGTAAAAGTTTCTTGTTTTTTGAATCCGTTACATAATTTATTTCTCAGCGTAGCTAAAAGTTTATCTTCTTATATTTCCTCGTAAGATATATCCCTGTTTTTAAGCGAACATCGGGAATTAATTAAATAAGCTTAGTGAATTGCCACAGTGTATATGGACACGGCGTCCTAAGAAAATCTGCTCACTGTTTGATTGTTATAGATTCTTTTATTTTCGAACCTCTTCTAGGGCTCAGTAATTCAGTTAATACGTCTAACTCAAACAATGCTGTCGTTAGCGATTAGGTATAGCTCTGAAGTTGATGACTTCGTAGTTAAATTACCGTAACTTACTACTTGCGAGGATTATGCGCTATATTGTGGACGGAGCGCGAGACACACGTATGTGTCCGCAAAGGATGCATGTCATTAGTTGATTGTCAGCAAAAACTCGCCACACGCGCGCTTATCACTGGTCCGGCGCCATCTAAATCTACGTAGCTGGCTGCGCGGGCCGTTCGCGTCGCGGCAGGTCCATCACGCAGCCATTGGGGTCTATATGAATAATCACTTTGGAAACGTCTTCCACTATAATGAGAAATTCAATCATCTTATCTTCAGTGGATCAGAGGACTTATTTTAGTAATTCAATGTGTGGCAGAATCTGTTTCCAGTGAATAGCACTGACGATGAGATAGAAGAAAATTCTTCACCAACCCAATAAAGATCGATAAATAGATTTTTAAGGAAACCATTGTTTTATAGAATTAACTTTAGTCTCTTAATTTAAATTTCCTCTTCATCTGAATC